AGTTCTCCATCTTTGTCCTCCATGCCTGTGCACACAACCCAACTGGGACCGACCCAACTCCGGAGCAGTGGAAGCAGATTGCTTCTGTCATGAAGGTAACTGCCCCTTCAGAGTATCTCTTAAAAAATAGTGTGTATTCTTATTTAATATATTCAGAAGCAATACCTGTTTGTTGTTTGCTAAGGAATTTGGAAAATGGAGAAAAGTCCAAAGAAAAAAATAAGTATTAACTGGAAAGTTTATTGCCTAAAGAAAGACAGTGTTAATGTTTTGGTAGATAAAATATCAGACTGTGTGTGTGTGTGTGTGTGTGTGTATGTGTGTGTTAGTTTTGTGTATATGTTTTATGTTTTAGAAAGGTGAAATCATTTTGTCTTTACTGTTTTTGTAACTCAATTTAGTTTTCATTTGTACCTCTTTATATACATGTCATTGAATATTTTGCAACATCATTTTTTGTAGCTATATTATATTCCTTTCATGGATCTGTCATATTAGGGATTGGATAAATCATCTGATGAATATTTAGGGTTACTTCAGATTGCTTGATCTGATGAACAATTATGTAACAAAACTTCTTTTTATCATTTCTTTGGCGTAACTTTCTAGATGAGAATTCCTAGCTGAAAGTGTGTGTATTCTTCATTAATGAGGCACTATGGGAATATGGTAGTGAACAGAGCAGATGCAGTCCCTACCCTCAGAGACAGGCTGTTTGGGGAGATGGACTAGTACTAAGGCAGCTGTGATTCTGTGAGATAGCTGTGTTGATGGCGTTATATGGGGCTACATAGCCCAGACTTTGGGCAGTGTACATGTGGGGGTTGGCGGGGGGCAGGGGGGCCAGTGGCAGGAGCCTTCCTGGAAGAAGTGGTTTCCATGTTGGATCCTTAGGATGGGGTGGAGTTAAAGTATCAACAGATATGTTGGCAGGGAAGGGATGTGCTCTGCAGGGGGCAGAGCATGGTCAGAAGCCCCAGGCAGAGATCATGGGGAGTGTGAGTGATGAGGCTAGAGTGAATAGGGGCGGGCCCTGCACTGAGGCTTGGACTTTATTCTCAGGGCAGTGGAAAGCCACTGAAATCTTGGATTTGGGAGTGACATGATCAGATATTCATGGTCTTAAGGTCACCCTGATATCATAGCAGGGAATGGATCAGAGAGAGGCAAGAATAGACAGGCTGTGGGAGTGGTTAGGAGGCTGTTGCCATAGTCCAGGTAGGAGTTGATAGTGATGGCCTGGAGGAGGTAGGTGGCATTGGGGACAGTGAGATGCAAAAGGATTTGGGAGGTCTGAAGAGACAGACTGATAGGACTTGGGGCGTGCCAGGATGTGGGTGATAAGCTGCAGAGGTAGGAGTCCAGATACCCCCCCAATCCCATCCAGTCAAGATACACCCAAGAAATGGGAATCAATGTACAACCAAAGGCTTGGACAGTTCCGGGGAGGGAAGTGGTGTCCACTCAGAGAGAGCCCAGCAGTAGAAGCAGGTTCCCTGTGGAGAGCTCTTTGAGGAGATGAGTGACAAGAATAGAGGCTACTCTCTGTTCCCTTCCTCTTGAGTACCTAATAGAATAGCCCCGAGGTTGTGAGGAGCCCTGGGGATACCAAGCCTACACTTGACTAAGGTTCTCACACCAGGAATTCAAGGAGGAGAATCCACCAGCATACAACATTGCCTCCTTGCTTCAAAAGTAAACCCTGTTAGCAAAGCTGAATCAGGACACTCTAGGACAACGTACTTTTAAAAAGTAAAGTTTACAGAAAAGGTTGTTGGTTGTAGAGAGAAACGGATGTAAAGTGGTGTTTGGGTGCATATAGTCAAGAAATAGGAGAAATGGACAGCGTTCGAAATTCCCTCCAGGCATCAGCTGGGGAAGTAAGGCCGGTGTCTGAGGTTGGTGCCAGAAGGATTTCCTGCCCTGACTCACTTTCCTTCCTCGCAGCACCGGTTTCTGTTCCCCTTCTTTGACTCAGCCTATCAGGGCTTCGCATCTGGAAACCTAGAGAGAGATGCCTGGGCCATTCGCTATTTTGTGTCTGAAGGCTTCGAGCTCTTCTGTGCCCAGTCCTTCTCCAAGAACTTCGGGCTCTACAGTGAGTGCTCTCCTGAGGAGTTACAGCCCCACCTCCCACATCACTCCCTGCTTCAGCAGCCACAGCTGATTCTGGTCCCTCTCTTTAGATGAGCGAGTCGGGAATCTGACTGTGGTTGGAAAAGAACCTGAGAGCGTCCTGCGAGTCCTTTCCCAGATGGAGAAGATTGTGCGGATTACTTGGTCCAATCCCCCTGCCCAGGGAGCACGAATTGTAGCCTGTACCCTCTCTAACCCTGAGCTCTTTAAGGAATGGTAAGAGGCTCCCAGCCTGGTGGGCTGGGGATTGGGGAGTGCAGAACGGTAATTGTCCCAGTACATTTAGCTGGGTCTCTTCCTTTCATTTTGGCAGAAGCAGGATAAAATTACTTTAACTTCTTTGACTCTCAGATATTTGTAAAACGGGTTAATACCTACCTCACGTGTGCATAACACAACACTGGGAACAGAGGAGGGGGCACTCGGTGAATTGTAGTTTTCCCCCGTTTCCCCTCCACCCAGTCTTCCTCCCCGTAAAGTTGGAAAACCTAGGAAGGTATTCCCAACAGAATAGAATATCCAATGTCAAGGCAGTTTTAACAGTTTGGGAGCTCTTGGTTTTTATCCATAATTTATATACATTTTATCTTATTTTAGAACGAAGTTATTTTTATATAATTGCTAAATCTGCAATCTCTATTTAATAAGACCTGATACAACATATTACCTTATTAATATCCATATCAGCACCTTGGTGAAGCCCGAGTTGAAACATGAGTGTATTATGGCTAGTATACCCAAGACTGTAGCACTAGACTCTACTAGTAATACAGTCTTTTTTCCTTCTGCCTCCTAAGTCTCTGGTATGTTCACCTACCCATCCAAACATCAACACACTGTAATAGGCAGGTTGTGATCCCATTGTCAGCTATAGTTTAAATTATGTTTTTTAAACGTATGTATTTTCGGGTACTATCTTTCCTATCTGGATTGATATTTATGTTGCTGTCCATGCTTTAGGACAGGTAATGTGAAGACAATGGCTGACCGGATTCTGACCATGAGATCTGAACTCAGGGCACGACTAGAAGCCCTCAAAACTCCTGGGACCTGGAACCACATCACTGAGCAAATTGGCATGTTCAGCTTCACCGGGTTGAACCGTAAGTGTCCCCCTGCCCCCCACTTCCAGTGCCTGTGTGCATGTAGACACGCAACATTCCTTTCAGTTGCTGGCCTTGAGCTCACCTTCATGGCCTTTGCCTAACTGGACAGCCATTGCTTTGGACCAGGACAAGCTGGGTTTTCTTAGAGTGTCCCATCAACTCATAAACTCTTTGGGTCTCAGAAGAGTATTGTTGTGGTCTGCCCTGCTCACCCACAGCCAAGATATTCCCATTTTTGTGGGCTGGGAAGTGGCTCAGAGCCAGCTAGGAGGTAACAGGATTGGTAGCTGGGAACCTTAATTTATGAAAAGTTCTATAAATGCTCAGGTATATTTTGGCTTTGCCTTAATCCTGAATATAAATATGTATGATTATTCAGAGATCTGATTTCTTAACAGGTCTTTCCTATTTCTAGGTATTATCCTCAAAAAGAGGTTACAAAGTTATCTCTGCATTTCATAAACAAGAACCTAGATTGGTGGTTGGAATTAAAAGCTGATTGAAAATCTAGTAGGTGGTCATGCATGATCTTGGTCAGTTGTCAGTAGGGCATATCTGCCATCTACATCCCATCTGATGACAGAAGAGTCATTTCTTCTTTTTTTTATTTTTATTTTTTTAATTTTTGAGATGGAATCTCGCTCTGTTGCCCAGGCTGGAGTGCAGTGGTGCGATCTCGACTCACTGAAACCTCCGCCTCCTGGGTTCGGGCAATTCTCCTGCCTCAGCTTCCCGAGTAGCTGGGTTTACAGGAGTCATTTCTTTGGAATATCATTCTACAGGAATTACTCACTGTAATTCCCTCAGTGCAGATGTGGTCACTCACCTTTGTGTCCCAGTGACTCTGGGGAGCGGGGGAATATGTGACTGGGTTGGTTTGTAGGTAGAATATCAGAGGCCTTGGGGAGGTATTGAACTGGGTTCATCACAGTGCCAGTGTGAAGTGGGTTCAGAAAAAACCAAAGGAAATAAATATAAATGAGAGTTAATAGAGATTGTATTGTGGTCCCCTCAAAATACTTTGGGGTAAAATGAGGCTACCTAAGAAAGTAAAGAAATAGCTCAGTTAGCTGTAGGTATCCTCATGACTGTGGAATGGAGAATTAGTTCATTCACAATTATGAAATATAAGGTGTAACAGAAATAATAATAGTCTTTAGTAGTAATATTCTAAAAGCTCACAATATGGGAATGTCTCCCCATAAAATATCCATATCTTCCCATTATCCACAGGAGGAAATTAGTTTTATTAATATTATGAATTGGAAAAATGAGTATAGAATTGTGCTTAAAACATAAAAGTTGTATTTTTAGCACTTGACATCATTTGCTCTTATTAGAAACAGGAGTTTTGTTTTCCTCCCAACTTTTTTTTTCTTTTTGAGACGGAGTCTTGCTCTGTTGCTCAGGCTGGAGTGCAGTGGCACAGTCTTGGCTCACTGCAACCTCTGCCTCCTGGATGCAAGCGTTTCTCCTGCCTCAGCCTCTCAAGTAGCTGGGGGCTACAGGCATGAGCTACCACACCTGGCTAATTTTTGTATTTTTAGTAGAGACAGGATTTTGCCATGTTGGCCAGGCTGGTCTTGGACTCCTGACCTCAAGTGATCCACCTGCCTTAGCCTCCCAAAGTGCTGGGATTATAGGCCTGAGCCACTGCACCTGACCTTTTTTTTTTGAGACAGGATCTTGCTCTGTCACCCAAAGTGGAGTGCAGTGGTGCAGTCTGGGGTCACTGCAACCTCTGCACCCTGGGCTCAGGTGATCCTTCAGGTGGAAGGTCAGCCTCTGAGTGGCTGGGACCACAGGCATGAACCACCATGCCCGGCTAAATTTTTGTAGAAATGGGGTTTCACCATGTTGCTCAGGCTGGCCTCAAACTCCTAAGCTTAAGTGATCTGCCCACCTCAGTCTCCCAAGGTGCTAGGATTACAGGTGTGAGCCACCACACCTGGCTGGAAAAATTTTAAACATACAGAAAAGTTGGAGGAATTGTATAGTGGACCCCCATATATCTGCCACCTAGTTTCTACAATTCTACATTACAATTCTTCCTTTGTTATCTTTTCTTTGTCGGAATGGGGCTTTTAACCTGGAGTCCCTGGATGTACTTTAGGAGAACTGTGAAGCCCCTGAAATTATGTTTTAAAAATCGTATATGTGTATTTTGGCCTTACCCTAGGGAAAGAGTCCATAACTTCTACTAGCTTTTCAAACTGTGACACTTCCCTCCTTCCAAAAAGTAGAAAGGACTCATTTTTATTAAAACAAAACCAAAAACCAGGATAGGAGCCCTTTAATCACTGCCTCAGGGCACAGGCGTTTAGAAACAGTGGTGCACCCAGGGCTGTGTTGGCTTGAGGCTGTGTCCCCTCGGGTGACCAATTCACACAGGTAAACCACTTCTGAAGCATGCTTTATTTGTTCATTCATTTGTTTGTTTGTTTGAAGGGGTCAAAGGAAAACTTCCCCTTTGCTCTCTGAAAGTTCGTTGGAAATCAACTGACAAAAGCAAGATTAATAGGTGAAAAGGCATACAAATTTATTTATTTATTTTTGAGACAGTCTCACTTTGTTGCCCAGGCTGGAGTGCAGTGGCATAATCATGGCTCACTGTAGCCTTGACCTCCCAGGCCCAAGCAATCCACCCACCTCAGCCTTTCTAGTACCTGGGACCACAGGCATGTGTCATCACGCCCGGCTAATTTTTAAGATTTTTGTGTAGAGACAAGGTCTCCTTATCATGCAGTCCTCCCTCGTCGACTTCCCTAAGTACTTGGATTATAGGCATGAGCCACTGTGCCTGGCCAGTATGCAAATTTATTAACCTGCAGAGGTGTCTTACAAAGTAGAACTCAAATAAATGGCCAGATAATTGATGCTTTTATACCATCCTGGGATTACAGAAAAATAGGAGCTTGGACCTTGGCGAAACAGGTTATGGCAGGCAGAGAAGAGCAGGCCTGGCTAGCAAAGGTGGCCTTGTTATGTTATGTAGATAAGTCACAGGTAGCAGCCCTCACAGAAAATAGCTGGTAAAGGTCTGTTCCTTTTAGACCTTTAAAGGCATCAGACTCTCAGTTAATCTCCCCTAGATCTGGACAAGGGAGGGCCTCAGAGAAAGCCTAGTTACAGCCATGCAGATTTTCTCTACAAATATAAATCTCTCCCACAAAAGACAGCTTTGCAGGGCTACTTCTGTATGTAGGGCCTCTGAATGGCCATCTCAAAATATGTCCAAGGATATTTTGGGGTGAACTATTTTGGTTTCCTTCAAGGAGCATGTAGGCAGCACTGAGTCCAGGGTCCAGATTTTTCACTTCCGTAGAGAGGCAGTGTAGTGTTATGGTGTACAGCCTGGACTTAAAATCCTGCCTTAAAATCCCACATCCACCACTGACCAGCAGTGTGTCCTCGGAAGGCCATTTAACATCTCTAAGGCCTATTTGTAAAACAGGCATGATAAAGTTATCAGGATGAACTAAGATGTAGTGCTTAGAGCACTGCCTGGTACATAGTGTTTGCTCCTCTGATTTTGATGATTTTATGATTGTTATTCCATTTCCTCAAGCTGGTGGTATCTTAAAGGTACTGATTACTTGGGCAAAAATTCACTAAAATTCTTTTTTTTGTTTGTTTGAGATAGAATCTCATTCTGTCACCCAGGCTGGAGTGTAGTGGTGTGATCTAAGCTCACTGCAACTTCCTCCTATCGAGTTTCAAGCAATTCTCTTGCCTCAGCCTCCAGAATAGCTGGGACCATAGGTGCACACCACCACTCCTGGCTAATTTTTGTATTTTTAGTAGAGACTGGGTCTTGCCATGTTGGCCAGGCTGGTCTTGAACTTCTGACCTCAGGTGATCCTCCCGCCTCGACCTCCCAAAGTGCTGGGATCACAAGCATGAGCCAGATTCAATAAAATTCTATAAATGGATTTGCCAAAAAGCAAAACTGCTCTAGAGACTGTTTTGTATAAAGGAAGTACAGGTGGTCTCTTCTTACTCATATGTGATGCATTTCTGCAAGCATGGAGAAACCCTGCTGTATCTGAGAGAGAGTTGAGAAATGAACAGAAGTCTGATGGTGCCAGGTTGGAGAGGTCTGTGTTGTTTCTCAGCTACATTGAACAAGGCCCCATTGATCAGGTACCTCAGGCATCGGGCCTTATCCAATATACTGTAAAAATGAAAAAAAGGGAAGCTGCCGCGGGTGGTCAGTGCAAGTCCATGTTAAGGAAGAACTAAAGGAAGCCTTTCAGAGCCAGTGCTTTATATTGCGGGAGGGTTCTTACATCTGATGGTTGTTTTTATTGATAGGGGTGTCCTGGTGGATGTAATGTATAAGGTAATCTCAGATTAAAATTCCCATCAGTAGTAGCCATATTGAATTTTCTGGGGCTTCAAAGGTGAACTAATAAGAGTACTTTTCAGAATCTAGTGAGTATATTTTTCTGCTTGTCAGTTAGACAAAATAGCACCTTTTGTTTTGCTTCTCTCTGTTAAGGGTAAAGAATGAAAGCTGAAATTGTCACATAATTGCTCAGCCCGTACTGCTTAAGGATCCCCTTTGCTCTGATTATGTCTTCTTTTGGTTTTCAACAGCCAAGCAGGTTGAGTATCTGGTCAATGAAAAGCACATCTACCTGCTGCCAAGTGGTCGAATCAACATGTGTGGCTTAACCACCAAAAATCTAGATTATGTGGCCACCTCCATCCATGAAGCAGTTACCAAAATCCAGTGAAGAAAAACCACCCGTCCAGTACCACCAAAGTAGTTCTCTGTCATGTGTGTTCCCTGCCTGCACAAAATATCACAGATCAGAGACTCTGGCAGGACTGAAAGGCTGTTCTAGTGAGGCCGCCTCTGTTTAAACTGGCCCCACGTGAAGTGAACATCCCTTGAGACGAATTTGGACGCTGGGATTAGAGCCTTTGAAGGTCAAAGCAAATTGAGATCTTTATTTAAGAATAAAAGAGTACTTTGATCATGAGACATAGGTATTTTGTCCCCCTCGCTAAGAAGCAGTAGGTTGCATGTGATGACCACATGCTTCTATGTGGTGTTTGACTCTGTACAAAGTCTAGTCCCAAAGATCAAGTCGTCTGAAGGAGCCAAAGTACAAATGTGGGTGTTGGCTGTGGCATTAAACTCATCATCTCAACCCAGAGTGTCTGGTCTCCCTTCTCTTTCTGCATGATTGTGTCCCTAGTCCTGCACTTTGGTTCTTTAGGGTGACTGTGGTAAGAAAGATATTTAATCATGACATGCACAGACACACACATATTTAATAGGAACAGAAGTTTCACCAACAGTATTTACTTATGCTGTGTATAGTGCATTCTGATATTTTTGAGTACATTCTATTGTGTTCTACTTCATCTAAAAAAATAAAATAAAAATGCTGATCAAGACCCATGGAGTTGATTTTGTGACTGCTAATGGGTTGTGATTCACAGTTTAAAATGAATGCTTTAGATGGGTTTACTAGTGGCTAAAGGAAAAACTACAATGTATTCTTACAATGTAGCTTCCTTCAGTGAACTCACCATATCATAATTCCGTGGCCATTTTGTGGGCTTGTCATTTGGAGGCCAGCCATTTCTTCATATGTTACTTAAAAAACTGGGCTTCTTGGACTTGTGAGAGGGGATGACATCACTCAGGGTCTTTCTGAAACACCAGCCCGTCCCCTGCTGTCAGAGTCCCTCCTGGTTTATTGAAGCAATTAGAACCACATCAGCATAGATCACAATTTCCAGAGTCCAAGGGCTGTTCCAAGCGGCCGTTTTGTAGAATTTAATGGGGCTGGATGTTACTTAAAACAAGTTGTCTATTATTTGGAGTTTTTTAATATTTAAAGTTAGTTCTTGTGATTTTAATAGGATCTGCCACTTTCTAGGACTTGTTTGGGTTGTTATAAAATCCTGCAGTCCTAAAGGATGGCTGGGGTCTTAGAAGTCATCAAGTCCTGCCTCTCCCCCAGTGAAATAGTCTTTCCCATATTGTCTCTGACGCATCAATTTCAACTAGTGGGGTGGTGGTGCAGATGGGTTCTTTAAATACTTGGTAATGCATCCCATTCTGCTGGTGGAACCTCTTAATTAAAAAAAGAGGCTCATTTATCTTTAACTCATGGTAAAAGTTCGTCCATATTGAACTAGAATTTGGTCTTTGTCCTACTCCCCTGCCCCTCCTTCCTTCCTTTAAATGACAGCTAGTAAATCTACTGGCACTTCTAATCTACCACCTTTCAAATATTTGAAAGTACCAGTTGTTATTCCTTGTTTACACTTTTCCATGTGAATTGCCTCTCCCCTGCCATTTTTGTTTCTGCACAGGATGTGGTTTCCAGATCCTTCCCTGTCTGGCTTGAGCCCTGGGAGTCCTTCGAGGGCACTCTCTGCAAGTGTGTGGTGGGCTGCTGGAAGTTAATGAGTGAATATGATTAGGTGCCCTCCCACCCATCTCTTCACAGCCTCTGAACAAATCAGTCTTTGTTCTTCCAATGTAAATATCCTTGTCATTAATAAGGGAAGGCAGCCAATATGGAAGTTGAATGATTCTACCTTCTGTCAATCTGCCATTCTCTCCAGACACTTTAAACCACTCATTCTCCGTGGGACGATACTGCCTCCATGGGGACAAAAATTGGTTCTTTGGGGGCAAAAGAAGCCTGAAATACTAAAATGTTTATAGCCTTCCAAAGTGCAACCCTACCTGACAATCTTATTTCTCAGTATTTATCTTGTTAGGGAAAATTAAAATTTTCTCTTTAGGGGAGTACCAAAACCATTAAAGATAAACAGATCTCTAAACCTAAGTGACAGTACCACAGTGCTAAAATGTTTTTAGCACTTGAAGAAAGCCCATCTCAGTGGGAATCTGGCCTTCTTAGTTCTATTCTGACTTGGTCAGTGTGGCCCCACTGCGTTCACTTGAAAAAGCGTTCTGTGTGAGTTTGGTAAGCTGGCAGGACTCCTCAGGGCCTCTGACATGCCAGTGAACTTCAGAGGTGGGATTATTTTCAAATTTTGCCCAGTCATGAGCAGGGCACTTGGACCTCCAGGCTCTGCCATTTCCCAGGTGTGTGACCTCGAGCAAGTCACCCCACCTTGCAGACAGTAACCCCTCCTCCACAGGGTGTGAGAAAGAAATGAGCTAATGGGTACTTAGCACAATACTTGGAACATAAAGCCCTTGGCAAAATAGTTGTTTCCATCGTTTATTATTACCGTTAGTGAAATGAATAGCCTTTACTGAGGTTCCTAAGAACCTTAAGAGGTCCTGGCATAGGCCTTTAATCCTGTGTGCTTTGAGAAATTAGTAGTAACTGTCAGATTTCGGCCTTCCTTCCACACAGGCATTAAACGCCCAAACACATCTTCCCACCGCCTGGCTGTTCCCTTCCTCCAGCCTCGGCTTAAAATTGATGAACAGCCCTGGCCCATTCTTGTGTTCTGTTCGCTAGCCTTTGGTTGCAAACCGTGAGTCATGCCACTTGTACTCCTTTCCGAAGGGTCTGCAGAAGTGAGCTAGTGTAACCAGCATATTTTCTCAAGGACTTGTCTGGGTTTAGCCCTCAAGACCTTGAATTTGGATGGCACCCAGCAAAGCACCTCACCCATCACATGGGTTCAACAAATGCCAGCCCTCCTCACTGTCATCTTATTGCTCCTTGTCTTTATGCACGCTGCCTTCTCGTTTGGCTTTTACTTCTCATTTCTGTCATTCACTCTTGCAAAATCTTACCATCTGGCCTCCCAGAGTATGTGCCAAGCCTCCCCTGTGATCTCACCGCAGCCTCACACCTGGCCTGGGGCGGCATGCCTCTTCAGGCAGGTGGGCCACAGGTGAGATCATTACACTTGGGCATCACTCTACCTGCATCTCACATGAAGCCACTTCAGAAGATTCCAGGGGCAAAGAAAATAGCCACATTCCAGGAAAGGCATTTTCATTTTATTTAAAAATTATTTACAATGTATTGAGCCTTCATAAATGTTTTATCTTAATTTTTTTTAAACTTTTTTTTTTTAACCTGAAGAAAGTCTTTGTGGGGCGAGGGTGTGGTGGGAGGGGAGTGGTGACAGGCTTCTTAGGGATTTTGCAAAGGGATGGGTGTAATGCAACAGCAGTGGCTTGAGCCTGGTAGCCTCAGGGGTGATGAAGACCAGCCAGGCAGGCACCCCTGGGGCCAGTGGCCAGCTGGGCAGGAAGCCTGCATGATGGTAGTTCTTGCTCAGAACTCACCATTTATTGTTTTGGGTCTAGGTACCCAACACTGAGGGCTGACACTTCGCCTGTTCCTACCAGGCAAGAGCAGGTGTTGGGACTGGATGGCTGTGAAGTTATCTATGAGAAGACATGCACTGCTGGAGCCTCAGGCTGGACCGGGCAAGGAGTGTGCTGAAGTCAATAATCGTTGCTGAAAAAGGCATCTCTAGCTCCAAAGTCTTTACTTCCACATGCTGTGGCCCTCCTGTCTGCAACACCTGCTCTGGGTTGTTGGGGAAGAGGAGACAAAGTTTATGTGGGGGGGTGTAGGTTGTACAATACTCTGGGGTGTGCCAAGAATTTCTGAGGACTTCCACTTCTTGGTGGGTACCAGCCTTCCCCACCAATTGATGGACACTTGACCACTTAAAATTAAAAACCTGTCTCGAACTGCCCAGTATCCACTTCACTCTGCATTGCAGAAACCCTGGGCTGAAAGTTCCACTATTTAAAATAGTGGAGGTTTTTTTTTTTTTTTTTTTAAACTTTGTAGGTCTGAGACCTTTGAGAACCGTATGAAAGCTTTAATGCTCTGGAAAAAACATACAAGAATACATATATTAAATTCTGATAATTTTAGGGGTTTCGTAGACCCTCTGAAGTCCAACTATGGACCCCCTGGGGTGATGGACCCCAAGTTAAGAACCCCTGAGTTAAAGGTTCCTGTGGGTAAGCATTTTCTTTTGAGATGCAGATAACCCAGAGGAATGATCAATCTCCCTCCTCCCTGTGAATGATTGAATGGGTGTGGGGAGGTGGGAGTGTGGGTTTTGGAGGAAGGGAAGGGAAGCTGGATGGTATACCACAGGGAAAGGTTTGGGAATGGTTTGGAGATTCAGCAGTCAGCTCAACGAGTACCTGACTGAGCATCTAAAGGGTAGGAGATAGATCAGAAAGGGAAAGAAGTATTCCAAAGACAAACTTCTTCACTAATTCCAAGTTTTCCCTAAGGCTGGCTGTGGTGTTTTTTTTTTGTTTTTTTGTTTTTTTTTCTAAAGACAAGTCTTGCTCTGTTGCCCAGGATGAAGTGCAGTGGTGTATTCACTGCAACCTCTGCCTCCCAGGTTGAAGCAATTCTCTTGCCTCAGCCTCCTGAGTAGCTGGGACTACAGGCATGTGCCACCATGCCTCGCTAGTATTTTTAGAAGTGGGGTTTCACCACTTTGCCCAGCCTGGTCTTGAACTCCTGACCTCAAGTGATCCACTCGCCTCAGCGTTCCAAAGTGTTGGGATTACAGGTGTGAGCCACTGCACCGGGCCTTGTGGTTGCTTTTCAGAGCTATTTTATTCTTGGAAGCGGGTATGTGCATTCACTCTGCCATCTGGTGGTAGTGCTTGGGATTACACCTACCCCAACTTCAGGAGAAAAACCAGTAAGTTCTTGGAATAATGTACACTCAGCTGATCTACTAGGGTGTAGTAAGGGGTGGGAGAGGGACAAATGCATGAAAAAGAAGAATGATTCTTCAACATTCCTGTGTAACTCCCTGAAGTCCCATGAAATAATGTATCTTTCTTGGCTGAGCTGGGCACTCTTTGGTTTGTCATGGCTACACTTGCTTTCAGCACTTACAATTTTTCCATGTAAGTTTTGTTTTTTGCTTTGATTTGCACTTAAGACCTGAAGTTCCATCTCTGGCTCCCAATTGGGTCTCTCTGCTCCCTGTTCCTTCTCTTTCAGAGCAGATTTATTGACAAATTGATGACTGCTGATTGGGAACCAAAACAGATGTGTCCCTGGGAAAAAAAGTGAATTGAGGTTCCATCTCACATTCTATCCATTCCAGCTGACACACACTTCCCCAGGCTGTTGGATCCCTTATCTAACAGGAAACCAGTCACTAACAGCTTTCTGTGCTGTAATGTCAATCACACGCCAACATGGCTGAGTCCCACTACTTTAAAGCTCTGGGGAGATTCTTGGTCCATCCCCTGAACTAATCTTCAGACCTCCTACTCCAGCCTCCCATGTGCCTGTCTGCCAGTGGTACCTTCTGAGCCAAACTAAGCATGAACTATGTTAGAAAGTTAACATTTTGTTCTGGAGGAAAGAATGGCGAGTTCCAAGACAATAGGTCTCCTATGGCATCGGGGAATCCCAAAGAACAAAGAACATCAGGGGTCCCAGAGTGGCATT